AAGACCACGATTGGCTAAATGAAAATATTTGTAAAAACTAATTTAGTAACCTTTGACCAACCATGTTAAAAAAAAAAAAAAAAAAAAAAAAACCCTTGAGAGGATTTAAAGTGGGCCACATCTTTTCAGTTTAGAGAATGCTTTTTCGTCTTCACATGGTCAGATTGTCAGTTCCTTGCTGACAATTAGAGGATGGGCCCCCTTTTGCACACTGATGGGACCAGGCATCTAGAGTAAAAAGTGGCAGAACCACAGGCTTCTTGGCCATGGTTTACCCTCAGGAAGTCTGTACTTGATCCTTTTTTAGACAGAGAACCCCAGACTCCTACCTCTCTCCATGGTGGGGGGCCTTCCCGTCACTCAGTGTCACCGCCTCACAGAAGTGTCCCCTGGCCACCCCATCTAAAGTAGCCATCCACCCATTACTTAAAACTTGCTCCCAGCACTGCCATCTATCCAGTAATTATTTATTTACTGCTCTGTTTGCTGTCTGTCTCCCCAGTCCCCACCTAGACTGTGACCACCTAAGGCCACCGGAGGTGCTCAGAACCTGGTAGCTAACAAAGGGGGATCCAGGGGGGTCCGCCTTCCCGGCAGCTGTACCTTCCCGGGTGCTGCTGAGGAGCAGTGAGGCTGGCGGCTGGGGCTGAAGCTCAGGCTGGAATCCCCTCCTTCCCACCATGGCCTTGGGGGTGCTGCATGGGAGGGCCAGGCTTGGCTGTCACCGGAGAGTAACGGTAAGCACAGTGGTGGTGAAAGTCATGTTAACACGGGTACCATCAATGGAGCACATGTGCCTGTCGAGCGCTGTGCTTATGTTACACACACTCTGAATCTTTGCAGTGATCTTGTTCTGCCCATTTGACAGATGAGGAAGCTGAGACTCAGGACTAGTGACGGCCGCCACCCTGCCCCACACCACAAGGTTCCTCAGAGAATGAGCATCCAGGCCCAGATTCAAAGCCCGGCTGGCCGGCCCCACGGCCCGAGCCCTTGGACACAGGCCCTGCTTCAGGCAGCTGCAGACGTGAGCTTCATGGTGCGTGTGGGCAGGGCTGGCTCTCCCCCTCTTCTGGACCCGGGGGCCGAGGAGGCAAAGGTGAGGGAGGCCACCAGCTGCACCCCTGCTGAGCTGGCGCTGTGGCAGGAGGCCCCCAGCCCAGGCCTCTCAGCTCCTCCTCCAGACAGAGAGGGAATGAAGCGCGGTGGGAATCGCCATGTGGCTGCAAATAGTTCTGTGTGGGAAGAGGGAGGAGGGAGTGGCCTGTCTCCCCAGGGACTTGCCTCACTCTAGGCAGGGGAGAAAGAGGGGCATCCTTGCAGCGCACCCGGGGCCCAGGCCCCGTGCTTCATCGAGGCTGTATTAACAGGCCCAACGGCGGTGTGAGGGGAAATGTCACCCCTACGTTGAGACAGGAGCTGGAGGCCCTTCTCCGCTGGCGGCGACGTGACCGGGCAGAGCTGGGATTCCAGCCAGATCTGTGTGACCCACAGCCCAGTGGTCACCAGGAAAGCCTATTGTCCTCAGGGGGCCAGGGGTCAACCAGTAGAAGACAGGGGAGGCAAGGAGGGCCCTGGAGGCTCTGGGCGGCCCAGCTGGAGCTGCTGCTGCTCCAGGCGGACGGGCAGAAGGCACCCCACGACCTGCCTGCCACCCCCCATAGCCAGCGCCACTCTGGGCCTGAGCATCCAGGAGGAGTCCAGCTGCGGCCTGGCTCCCAGGCCCCTCGCGGTGGCCCCTTGGGGTGGTTGCCCCTTCCTGGCACCGTACACCCGCTACAGCTGCCTGCTGACTCACGTCTCAGCCGGGAGGGCAGGCTGGCAGGGGGGCCTGTCCCCAGAGAGGGACAGTGATTCAGGGTCACCCCCCGGCAGGCACAGAGCTGGAATGGGTCCCCCAGGGTATGGCCTTGGTGGGGCGGGGTGGGGGTGGGGGTCTCGGCCTGGCCCCCAAAGACCCTCTGGAGGAGCCCCTGCCTGCCTGAGGCATTTGCAGGATGTCCTTTTCCTGGTCCCATCTGGCTATGGAGTGGGTGGGTGGAGGCAGCAGGAAATGAGCTGACCTCGAGTGGGAGGAAGGCTGGTGGCAGTTCTGAGGGTCAGTCTCCTGGGGACCAGCCATCCGCCTGTGTGTGTGTGCTGGGGGGAAGGGGGCTGGGGTCCTCACAGCCTGGCACGGTCTGTCCACTGCCCTTCTTTCCCCGGACAGGACTTGAGCACCGTCTCAGGAGCTTGTGGTCCCGCGTGTGGATGCTCCCGGAGCAGGCGGGAGGGAAGGAACCAGAGGAGGCCTGAGCGGGCTAGTGCCAACTCAACAACTCCCTTGGTGCCCCCCAGGTGGACATGAGAGGTAGAGGGGGCGGGGGGAGGGGGCGAGGGCAGGAAGGAGTTAGGCGGAGGTGAAGGAGGAGACACAGTGCAGCCAGAGGCTCCCTGTGGGAGAGGCCGGCAGGGCGTAGGCGAGGGACACGGCAGGGCACGGAGTGGCTGGCCCTGCCTCAGAATCCCCTCTGCTGCCCCCAAGCCTTCAGCCGAGCCTGCCATCTTAGCCCGCGCCAACGATGCCGGGGGAGCTGGAGAGGGGCCGCTGGGCTGGGGCCACGGCTGAGGTGGGAGTGAGAGGCTGCCCAACGCACCCAGAGCAGACAGGGTGGAGGGTGAAGATCTCCAGAGCGGGTGGGGAGGGTGCCTGGCTGAGGGCAGGACTTCCGGGGGGCAGATGGGGTGGGGCGTCCAGGGATGGTCGTGTGACCACAGAGGAGCTCGGAGTGACCCTCCGGAGGGCTCTGGGGGCTGTTCCATGCGGTCACGACAGGGACACGCACAGGCCCTCTCTTGGGCCATGAACAGGTAAGGGGTCCAGGAGAAGGAGGCCTTGGTTCCCACCTGGGGAGATCCTGAGCTCACAGCCCTCCCTGGTCCTGAGAGTGAACCTGGGACCTGGCCCAGGCCCCAACCTGGCCCTGTCCCCAAGACCCTTCCCCGCTGCTGGTGGTGGGGAGGAGGGCTGGCTCCCTTTCAAGAAGGGCATCCCCTCTCCCCTCACTTCTTCAACCCCCCCTCCCTGGCCCACCTGCCCTCCCATTCCCTTCCAACTCGGGGAGGGGGGCTGGAGCTTTCGTGTTCCAGCCATGACCCTGGGACCCAGTCTCTCTACCTCCTCACTCTTTTCCTGAGTTGGCATCATTCTCAGGCAGGCCATCCCACATGGTGCCAAATGGCCACCCGCATCCCCAGGCTGGCATCCTATCAGGATGTCAAACCCAGTAGAAAGAGATTTTCCCTAATATTTCCATAACACAAGTCCTAGAGGGGCCTCCCATTGGCCAAGTTTGGGCCACATGTCTAAACCTGAACCAGTCACTAAGCTTGGGGGCTATAGAGTTCTGGACGAAAAGGCTGGGCCCATGTGTTCATCCTTGAGCCATACGGGTGGAGACTGGGTTCTCCCAAGGGAGACGGGACACTACGGAGGGGACAGATGGTGGACAGGCAGACAGCAGCTATCACCAGTGCCCCTGCGCAGGCTGCCTTTCCAAGGCAAGGTCCTGGCACACAGCCAGCCTGGCAGAGAGTGGCTGGTATGATACCTAGACTATTATCCTTGGGTGGCCCTGGCCTCCTGCCTTCCCGGTCCTGACCTGGGAGAGTCTCTTCCTGCAGTGCTGCGCAGGACGGCAGGCTGGCCCTGACCCTCCAGCCAGGGCTGGCTGCTGCCCCTCTGAGCACCTTTCCTTTCCTGCCAGTGTCTCACGTTGCAAATTCCATGACTTATGACCACCCACAGCTCCAGGTGCTGCCTGGCAGGGCCAGTGCTAAAGTTGGGATGCCTACCTGCTCTGCCTACAGTGAGCTCTTGCCTTCAGTGTCTCTCCAGACATCAGCTTCCCCCTCACCTGCCTGCCTAGTGAGTCAGGGAGGTTGTGCCTAGCTTAGGGGGAGGGGGATTGAGACTTAGGGTGCCTACGATCAGAGCTCAGGCTCTCCACATTTCCCTGGGTCCTGGCAGGGTGGGGTCACCCCACAGCTGCTCAGCCAAGCAGCTCTGGGGGATTAGAGAGGACTGCTCAAGTTCTCTCTGGTTCTTGATCTCTACTATTCACTCTCTTGGGCTGAGTCTCGGGCCCCCAAACCTCTACATGGCCCCTCCTCACGGTGGCAGGAGGGCTACTGCAGTTCCAGCCTCACCTTTCAGGTTTAAGTCCCTCAGGAGAGTGAGACTCTTTCCTTGCAGCTCCCACTCTCATTGGACCATTTCAGGTCACATGCTCATTCCCCATCCTCCGTAGAAGTGAATGCTAGATGTTGACTGGCCAGGCCTCAGTCACATGCTCCAATCCCAGGCAACACGGGGAGAGCTGCGAAAGGTGAATTCCCACACTAAAATCAAAGCTGGACCTCCTAGCTCCAAGGGCTGACCTCTCCAGGGCGGCCCCCAGGCGCCGAAAGCTCCCCACCCCAGGAACTGAGTCTTAACCTCTCTCGGGTCTGTGGGCTTTCACGAACAACACAAGCCATGGGTCCATTTAAAAATCATTTTATTATTAACTTCATCTTTCCATTTAGCCAAGTGTCTGTCATGTATAAGGAATGTCGGTAAATATTTCCATTTGAAGCTTCTTTGTACATATTTCCATCGATAAATAAACTCTGAATTCACATAAAAAAGTTAAACTTAAATAACTCATATTTCCTTCTCTTGTAACAGGCCTATATTGGTAAAATATAAATATTCTTGGACTCAGGCTTTGTTCTAAGTGAGGGCAGTAATTTATCACATGGTACAATTACTGACAACAAAACCAAGAAATTGTCGGCTGGTGTCCTGGCTTGGACGAGTACTGAGGCGGAAAACAGAAAATTCACATTTGGTTTCTGGGCCAAGGGTAGGGCAGGAGCGGTGATGGTGGGGAGAGAACAGTTTTCTTTAGAGCTCTGATAAAAATAATCTGTTCTGCCACTGAATTTTAACTTTGAATATATTTTTCTACATTTGCAGATTAATTCCATGATCATTTTACTTAAAACTTAGATGTCAGCTAACAAAATATGGCACATGATCCATTTTGAACAATGTCAGTAGATTCAGAAACTATCATTGGGCTGGCGAAAACGACAACAGAAATGCACGTAGAGAGCGATGATCAGGGGTTGGTTTGTTTAGTCCACTGTGGTCAATCGCACATTCATCCAGGGCCTTCGTGCGCACACTCGACCCTCAGCGCCCAGGCGGGGCCCCCTTGGCCTGGGCGGCAGTGAGGCTGGGGCGCTGCTCAGAGCACGCGGGGGATGATGGTGAAGGGCACCGCGGGGCTGCTGGCCTCCAGCTCCAAGGCCGTCAGGAAGCACTCAGTGGCCGCCGCGTCGTTGCCCTGAGCTTGCAGGACCTCGCCCAGTCCGTTCCAGACCTCGTGGGCCGTGGAGTTCACCTGCACCGCGTCCCGGAGGATCTTCTCGGCCAGACTGTAGCGGCCCAGCTGATGGAGGATCAGGGCCTGCAGAGACAGACAGTCAGAGAGACTACCACTCTGCACTCCTATCTGTCCCTGAGTTTTGGCAGTTCTTCCTGCACTTGGGGCTAAGAGTCAAAAGAATCGCTCGAACCATGAACTGTATGAGGTTACCGATGTTCAGCCAATTTTTTTTTTTTTTGGCGGTACGCGGGCCTCTCACTGTTGTGGCCGCTCCCGTTGCGGAGCACAGGCTCCGGGCGCGCAGGCTCAGCGGCCATGGCTCACGGGCCCAGCCGCTCTGCTGCATGTGGGATCCTCCTAGACCGGGACACGAACCCGTGTGCCCTGCATCAGCCGGCGGACTCCCAACCACTGCGCCACCAGGGAAGCCCTGTTCAGCCATTTTTGAACCATAAAAATGGTGATTTCAAAGGGTTCACCCAGGAACGAACCGTTTGGATCGGCCATGGTCTGTACTGACTCAAGGGCGTCCTGCGTGTAACGGCTGACACTTGCTTGTGCAGAAGGGTGTCTGCCAGCTTTTATTTTTTTTAACCTCAAGAAATGTCATTTGTGGCCTTACTACCCCAACAATTAGAACAGAGATTTCTAGTTGCTCACAGGCCCTTACCCTAACCACGCCCCCGATCTCACTGTCCCCTGTGCACTCCAGGCTCAGCCCCCGCACAGCTGTCATTTTAGTTTTAATCAGGGCGTATGTGTTGGTCCCCAAATATTTTATTATAACCGTGTTTCCAAGTTGTGCATCTCTGCAACTGATGTGTTTGTACTCTTTCATCCAAAAGATACACTCTCATTTATTCAACGTCTCCCTCACGGGGGATACATTTAGGCTGTACCCAACGAACATCTTCCCAGACAGCCCTCTGTGCTCTTTTAGACGAATGGATTTCAAAGCGTTTTTTTTGGCTCACGGGCCCAGCCGCTCCGCAGCATGCGGGATCTTCCCGGACCGGGGCACGAACCCGTGTCCCCTGCATCAGCAGGCGGACTCTCAACCACTGTGCCACCAGGGAAGCCCTCAAAGCGTTTTTTATAGCCCCGGAAATCTTTGGCTAAATGGAATCTTACTGCTCACGCTCACACATTATGGGTATAAACAGACAAAAAGGAACTGCTGGGGGTAGGACAAGGGTGGGGGGCGGCCAGAGTCCTGCCAGTGGGCTCCCCAGAGGCCCTGGACAGGCTCAGTGGAACCAGCTGGGCAACCATTTGGAGAGTCTTCCTTTAGGACAAATTTCCCCAAAGTGGCGTTACTGGGTCAGAGGATAAGACTCTCTAGGGTTCTCCAAATATTTTGCAAATGATATCCCCAAAGGGTGGCGTCACGTTTCTAGCCACCTACAGAGTTGCAGTGGTCCATCCCCTGCCCCACCCCCGCTATCATTACTCTTCATTTGTACTAATTTTGTAAGTGCAGATTGTCCCCTCCTTGTCAAAACCTGCATTTCTTTCATAACAATTGAGGTTAAATATTCAATATTCCCCATACCCATTAGAAGACATGCATCTGTTACCGTAATTGTCTAAAGTCTGTTTTTGACTTTTGAGGGTTTTTTTTTCTTCTGTGAACAGAAGTTTTTAGTTTTTTAAGTTGAATTTGTTGATATTTGGTTATTTACTGATTGATTGATGGTCACTTCAAAGCTTAGGCAGTTATCCTTTCAAAGGACTGACATGCCTTGGATTCCATTTGTTGTGACCCGACTTCCCCCCACCCCTGCCCCCGTAGTTGTCCACCTTCCCCCGCAGATAGGAAACCTCAGTGGGTCTCCCCTACGTAGCTGGGCACAAACTAGCTACTCCCCCCTTCCCTCATTCCTGTGAGGCACTGCCTTTGTCACACAGTGAATTACTGCAAGAGATGGGGGTGGGGCTTCTTAAATTTTCCCATGAGCTACACCACCTTCCTTTCACATAAGCACCGTGCTGTTTGGATTTCCTTATTCCACATTAGGATTGAACAGGTGGGATTAGAGCCTTTCCTCATGGCTCTTCGCTTTCAGTGTATTTAATTGACAATCTTGCCCTGTACTAGTCCAGATGAATTTTAAAAAATCACTTTGTGGCTTCCCTTTGGGAGTTGAATTGTACTTGCATGAAAGCTCTAAGAGCGTGGAGAAGCCTAACATCCTTACAGTGTTTTGTCTTCCTGCCCAAAACTGCGGCCTGACTCACTGGTCCTTCAGATCTCAGCCCTGTACTTTCTTTCTGTGGCTCGCGTGTGGCAGGGGTGAGCCCTCCCTGGTTTCCTCAAAGCTGTACGTCACCGGCGGGCAAGGGGCAGACCCAGGCAGTACAGGGGCATAACGAGCAGCCTGGGCCAGGTGGGCCCACTCCAAAGGGCTCTGGCCTCCAAGATGAGCTCTTAGACGGGGTAGGAGGTGCCCTCAGCAGGCGGTGTCCAGGCCCGAGGGCTGTCCGGCTGACCTTGCCCCGGGCGTGTGGCCCTGGGGGTGGTGTCTGAGAGCCAGAAAAGCAGCCTGACTTCCCAGAGTCGCTTGCACCTGTGAGCAGCCGGCACGGGAACCGTGAGGTCAACCCCGGAGGAGCTTGCGGTCAGAGGGGCCTGGGAGACCGGCCCCAGCGCAGAGTGTGACGCCTCGGCTCTGGGAGGGGAGGCAGCTCGGGGAGGCTCCCTAACAGAGGCTGCAGACTTCAAGGTCAGGTCCAGCCTCTCTAAGAGGCAAACTGCACATGTGTCCTTTCTTATTAACATCTAGATACGCTGTAACAATGTCCACCCTGGAGTCCCTGGGTACGGGTAGGTCCTGGACTGGATCTGCCAGAGCTGGGGGCTCCGGGGGGGTGGCCAGGGCCAGGCAGGAGGGTGTTCCAAGCTTCGGAACAAAAGAGGTGGCAGAAGCCAGTGCTCGCAATTAGGATTTTACTGGGTTTCTGGAATTTGCTCTCCTCAGACTGCAAGGCCTTCCCATTCTGCAGTGAGCACTGCTGGGTTTCGGCTGCCTTCCTAGGCTGGTCAGGGTCAGGTTTGCTGGGACTACCGTGAAAACCCCCTGTTTGCACATGAGGCCACTGCACGGAAGCACTTCCCGCGTCCACAGGGTTGTCTCCTCATGGCTCCCTCCCCAGAGCACCCACTCCCTACCCACCCAGGAGGGGATAAGGGAACAAGGGCGGACGTTCAGCGTGGACCCGGGCTTCCTGGCAGGGTGAATGTTAATAATAAGAACGGCAGAGAGAGCTAACAGCGTTTATGGCACACCAGGCCCTGCTCCAAGTGCTTAGTTCACCTGGGGACTCCAGAGCAACTTCACACAGGCGTGGCCAGGACACAGAAGCATCTGCGTGCAAGGCCTGCTTTTATTGCTGCAGAGAGAGCCCACAGTTGAGGAGCACCTACTATGCGGCGGAAAATATGCTCACGCACTGGGTCCTCCTACCCCCATTTTGCAGGTGAGTATGCCAGGGTGCCTGGAGGCTCCGTGTCTCTTGCCCTGGCATAAGCTGTTTACTGCAGAGCCGGGCCAGAACCTGCATCTCCCAACTCTTCGGGCCTCCCTGAAGGCCATTCGGGTGTGGAGTGCACGGTGGGGTGGGGAGTAACCGCATCCCTCTCCTGGGTGGCCCCCCACCCCCCACTCTGGCCCTCCACCCTCCGTTAGCGAAAACCTGACAGCTTGACACCTGCACTTCCCAACCTCGAAGGTCAGGTGGAAAGAACGGGAGGCTACTTTCCCAGGACGTGAGGGCTATGCCTCCTTTCTTCCAGGGGAGGTTATCAGCCCCAGCTCACGCTAGAACATTCTGATTTAGCCAACAGAGAAATGAGAGTAGGGAGGAAGGTCTGGGTAGTGGCAGCAAACATGGGCATTTAAAGGTTACAGAAGGAGTCCTGTCGTGTTCCTTCAAGATAAGACCTTCTTAATGCATCAAATTATTGAACACACACCTTTTCTGAGAGGCTCTACCAGGCAGGGAGGCACAGATTGCGTGTTTGGCAAATGGTGATGGGGACAAGCCACCTGGTAAGCCACAAAGAGGCATGCTTGGTTAATTGGTGCAGGTGGAGAATATGACTTAGGTCCCACTGGCTCTGCTGCAGTAGAAGCAACCTCGTGCTGTTTCCCTTCTGTACCCGGAGTTCTGTCTCCCCATCAGGCACTATGCTAGACACTTGAACTTGGCTTTGGCTCATCTCTTATTTCCTCCACTTTAGATATAAGGAGGCAGGTTCAGAAAGGCCAAGTGTCTTGCCCAAGGTCACAGGGCACATGAGTATGGAGCTTGCAGGCCAGCCCAGGTCTTCCTGAGGCCAAAGCCCCATTCTCCCCACCTTGGCTTCTCATCTGCTCGCTGCTGCCTCTGTCACTTTAAGAGACAAGCCCGGTGCCCCTCAGGCACTAACCCAGTTACATCTGAGCAACAGTAAACGGGCACCTGCCATGCTGTCTCTCCCTTCCACTTTCTCTGACCACTGACGGCTGGCTCTGTTGCTCCTTCCCACGGTTACAATGGGGAGGTGGCTCCTCTCCAGGGCACAGCTTTTCTCCTGTTTTTCTGCTGTTTGGGAGCATCCTGTATATTCACTCAAGGACCGGAAGGCTCCTTGCCTCCCTTTGGTGGCCCACAGGCCGGCTGTGATCTTGAGGCTTGGGGTGGCTGCAGCTGCCAAAGGACTGGGGCTGCTGTTAGCCAGAAAGCAGACCAATGAGATGTGGAGACCCAGGAGGACCAGGGCCTTGGTCCAGCAAGGCCCAGAGGTCACTGCTCTCAGCAGCAATGACCTGCCCCTACTCTGCTGTAGTGTGGACAAGAACCCCAGTCCTTTTGCTGGGAATTTTGTTCAGAAAGTGGCAGGCTGCTGAATCTACCCTATCTTGGGGGCTCTAGGGTACATGGCAGCGGCAAGTGCACCCCCAAAATGCCTGCAGGAACCAGCCACTGGGCTTATCTGACCTGTCGCCCTCGGTGCTGGGCAGCTAAGGGCCTTTGTGATTCTCTAGTGTTCTTGTGGGCTTGGAAATTTCCAGCCCATTCCTGGACTTATATTCCGAATG